AGGAGGCTGAGGGGAGACCTTATCATTCCCTACAACTGCCTGACAGGAGGGGGGAGTGAGGTGGGGGTTGGTCTCTTCTCCCAAGTAACAAGCGATAGGATGAGAGGAAATGGCCTCAAGTTGCACCAGTGGAGATTTCGATTGGATATTAAGAAAAATTTCTTTACTAAAAGAGTGGTCAAACATTGGAACAGGCTGCCCAGGGAAGTGGTGGAGTCACCATCCTGAAGGTGTTAAAAAAATGTGTAGACATGGCACTTCAGGACATGCTTTAGTAGGCATGGTGGTGTTGTGTTGGCAGTTGGATTTGATGATCTTGGAGGTCTTTTCCAACTTCAGTGATTCTATGATTCTCTAGGCACAGGACCTTCTCTCCAGGCTTCTGTCTGCAAGCCCTTTTCATATAAGCGACCTTTGATTATTTTCTGAGTCTCAAATATGTTTTTCCTGTCTTCATGACACTCATAGTAAGGCAAAAGCCATCCTCTCAGTCTGCTGTCAGTCCTGGCTCCATAGAAGACAACTCTTTCCTGTTCACCCCAAATAATGAGGGATCCAATGCATCCTACAAAAAAAGGCTCCTGTTGCCTACCTATGGCGGGGGGGGAAGGGAAGAGTGGACACCTTCAAGCTGGCATTGCTCCCCATTCCCAGAGCTGGGAAGCAGAGGCTAATCTGCTCCCCTTCCCCTCTGAAAACTTGGGTTTGGATTTTCTAAGTAGTCAAGAGGCTTCCCTGTTGGAGCTTTAGACAGCAGCAGTAGGAAGTCTTGGTAGGGATCAGCTTCTGCCAGCAGTCATGGAATTATGCTGTAAATGTCATGACAGCTTCACACTCCTCAGTGTTCACGGCTGCCACAGCCACATGCCCAAAGCCAGCGTGGGCAGTGACCTGCATGGTGCCTTGCTGCCCTCTCCGAGAGCCACCTCTCCAAGGAGACATGGTCTGGCAGAGGATGGGAAAGCCCTTTTAACTCCCCTACTCTCCTGACCTCCCCTGCTTAACAAAACCCCATCAGATGAGTTACTTCTAATAGTCTTCCTGCTCTGAAACATCTAAGGTTTGCAACTCCGTTGTTGGAATATTCCACCTCCTCTGAACCCTTTAGGAAGGCTGTACCAGATAAGGATTCACAGTCGTGATAAGAGCATCTATAATCTTCAGAGGAAACTGCTCAGATTGCTTCTGCTGCTGGCCAGGGAATGGGCGCTACCTCTGCTCTCTCTCAGATCATTTTGTATTTGTCATGCCTTGGACTGAAGCAGTGAGCCAGATGCAGACCCAGCCCCTCTTTGTCAAGTGCAAAGGGGTGAAAATGTGATCTACTCCCAGGAGATAGCAATCTGAGGGGAACTTGGAGGTGCAATTAAATTGTTTGTTGCAAAGATTTAATCCAGTTCTTGTCTTGCAAAAAATAACAAGAGAGGGTTGTTAACAAGCACGTGGGAAATTTTGACTTTGGCACGCAGTGTGTTTTTATCTGTCAGTCATGCTGAAAGATTGCTTTCCATGCCACGCAGAGAAGTGGCACAAACCTCTTTGTTCAGACGCTTGTGTTCCAGCTTTTTCCGAGCCCAAAAATGGGAGGATGCCTGGCATTTTTGTAGTGGGAATTGTTCATTTGGATCAATGTGGGCTATTGCATGGATACTGAAGTGAATTAACCCTTTCACCAGTGCAGATGGTCTGATCGTGTTGCATAGGTTGCATACCCATATGCATATAAACACACAAACAAAAAAGAAAGTTGGAAAAGATTACTGTCAAAGGTTACTGCTACATCTGCGATGGTCAGAGCTTGTCCGGAGGGAAATTGCAAGCAACAGGATGAGGTGAGCTCACCAAGTTAGTTCTTTGCTACAAGGATTTAGTCTAGCTCCTGTCCTGCAGCAGGGAGGCACTTGCTGCAGAATTCAGTAAGGTCAAAATGTGGTGAGGAGTCTCCTGTTGCCTTTTGTAGGTGCTGCAGGACATGCTTGGGAGAATCCTTCAGAACCAGGACATGGTGCAAGACAGAAATGTCTCCCCATGAGCTGTTACAATTCCAGCAGGTCCTCAGACTGTTACAGAAATGCTGGCCTGTTTCAAATGAGACACACTTGTTTGCTCCAGTGTCCCTGCCATACCCCTGTGCAGGAGCTGTGTTGGCCCAGCTTCATCACATGCAATTTTGGACACCTCTCCCAGGCATTTGTAGCTGGACCTTTCAGTGAGTCCTCCTGACCTGGACCTCTTACCTCAATGCAAGGGCTGGAGAAGTGGTGAAGCCAGATCTTCCTGTCCCCCTGGTCCATCTTACACCTTGATATCTGAAATAAGGCAGGTTGGCAACAGGAGGTGTGCATCTTCAGGGCATGCTCCTGTACGGATGCTCCCCCAGCTGCTGGGATGGGAGAGATGACCCAGAAGGCTGTGTCAAACCAGAAGCAGACCAAGACAGGCTTCTGGCTCCTCTGCCCACAGAGCCCACGTGGCAGAGTTGCCTTCAGGTTGTACAGCAGTTCCTGCAGTGTGCTTGTTTCTTTAGAAAGCTCTGGAAATGTTGCATTTATTTGGGTTTCTCCACCCAGCTGCTGTTCATGGAGTAGTAGTGGGACTTCTGTAGCTCCTTCCTCTCCCTTGCTCCCAAGGGGCTGTAGCAGGGTAGGAGGAAGGGTGATGTTAGAGAGACGATGGGGTAGACCATTGTGCCTTGACATCCCTGTGGCCTGTTGGTGTTTGTACACTCCCTCTGACTGCAGCGCTGGGCTGTAAAGAGCCAGGACATCACAGCGAGGTCTGGAAGCCTTCAGCTCTTCTGCTGTTGGCATTGCTGTTACGGGATAATGGGCGTTTTGGGGTGGTGACAGCCTTTGGCCAAGAAGCAAGGAGTCAAAAGTCCATTATGTGCCTGGCACAGTTGCTTTGCTATAATTAGTAAATTTTTTTTCTGAGGCAGATTTTGGAAGCGTCTGAAAAAGAATGTTTTGCAATCATGCACAGTAATGAGCATGAATTTAAGCAGCAAGTTCTTCAGTCACTGTAAATCTGTAGAACACCTCTGATGTAAGTGGAGCTACTCCGGTCTCTACAAGCTGCAAATCTGTCCTGTGCCTGGAGGAACATTCATGTAGCCATGGTTAAATAGGCAAGATGTCGATACAGTCAGATTTAGCATAGATATCAATGCGGGCTTCCCTAGAAATGGGAGCTCTTAGATCTTTACCTGAAAGATCTCATTCTAAAATATGGATCTTAAGCAAAAGGTTTTGGTGTCTGTGGTAACGTTGTCCCGTGTTTGACTGCTGTCTTTTGGTACTAGCCAGAAGAAATCTGGAAAGATTTAAGTCCTAATGCTGGCACTGGATGCCTGCTAGCATTAGCAGAGGATGTGTGCATGTCTGAGGACAGTTCTGCAAATGCAATTTCTTCTTCTAATTTTCTTTTTTTAATACTAAAACCACCCAAAAGCCACCACGTGAATAGAGGTAGGATGGAGTAATGTTTTGCCTGGAAGTATCTTGCTTAACATTTCTCAGATGAGCAGTCTCCTATAGTAAATTAAATTTAAAGTGAAACCTATTTCTAGATGGTGACAAACGGTTGCAAGCTTTCAGTTATATTCCGTTGTGTGTTGATCTTCATAATGCTTTAAAGTCTCTTTACTTCTGTTCTTTCTTCCGAGTACTGTGTGTTTGTAGTCTTAACCCTTCATTAGCTAAACCTCCTCCATTACCTACCCTTCACTGTCACCTATTGCAAAAAAATAGGAGTGATAACCCTGTTTTTCAGCCATTGCTTTGCTACATGATATAGACTAAGACAACTAGGCAGAAATGACCTGATTCTGCATGACTTCCACGTGCGTAAATCTCATTGACGTCAATGGGAGCGTTACGTGCAAAAGGACTGCAGGGCATAATTAAAAAGGACCCTTTTCTATCACAATGTGGAGAAAAAAATGTGGTTTCTGCTTGGGTACAATGAAAAGCTGTAAATCATTAGAAACATTCCTGTCTCCTAAGAACCTGACATACTACTTTGCTGTTGAGACATGCTTGGGTGAATGATGAGTAACTCTGAGAAAAGTTCCTGAGCTGGGTTAATGCTTTTTACCAAGTCTGATCATGAAACAGGTTTGACAGGCTGGAAGAAGTTCCATGGTGTGATAGAACAAGAAGAAAGGATTTGCCCGATAGCAGGGCCCACCCAAATCTTGTTCGAACACCAGATTTTTCAATGGCTTTTTCCACTGTTAATACGAGCGAGCAGTATTTAACTGTTGGAGGCCGCCTTCTAGAAATTGGGAGCAAGTCCAAGTGTGCTGGTGGCGAGCTGTGCCACTGGTACAAGCGGTGAAGAATCAGGCCTGTTCTTGACCATGTTGCTCAGCATCTCTGCTAACAAGTGGAAATGCATTTTACTCTGAACGTAATGTTACACGAGTAACGGGCAACAGCTGCTGCTTTACCCCTGGACGCACGGGTCAGCTGCACACAAGTGTGCACGCTTTCACATGTGCACACGTACATGCAGGCGGGTGCTGAAACAGGCAGAGGCAAGCATCCCTTTTTTTCCCTGGCATTTGTCGCTTATGCTAATCTTCTTGTTTTTAAATAGTCATCTTCTATATTTCTTGTACCTGGTATTTTGTTTTAAATGCTTGTTGCCTGCAACTGCTCTTCATAGTGTCCTGTCCAGGTGATCACTTCTCTCCTTCCTTCTCCTCATGCTTTTTTGTTCCTGTGTGCCCAAGTCAGTTTTTTTTTTCTCCCTGAGCATCCCTCCTCCTGGACTCTGCCCCCTCTCCTGGTGCATTTACTAACTGCTTACCTCGTGAGGTTGTGGTTTCACCTACTACTCCTACTGTGATTTAGCTGCTCTTCGCTTTCCTGTCTCGCTAAGTTGACACAGTTGCAGATGGTTTTCAGCCAAGACCCCCTATTATTTATTGCATGCTTGATCTACATCTGGGCCCCTTTTTTCACTCCACTTGTCTTTAATGACTCCCTTATCCACAGGCCCTGCCGCCTGGTGCACTTCAACCTTTACCAAAGAGGCCAGCACTTGAAAAAAACAATGGTGCCACCACAGTCTTTAACCCAAGCGTTTTCCACTACCAACAGGCTCTAGCCAACATGCAGTTGCAACAGCCTACATTCATCCCTACAGGTAAGTCTCCTTGCTTTCCCCAGCATCGTAGTTGCCTTTTTTATGACCTAGGCGTTGAGCTAATAAGCAGAGTTGTAAGAGTCCTTAGGAAAATCCTTAGGAAAAGAGTATCAGCGTGTAGTTTTGTGATAAAAATGGATGAAAAGTTAATGTTTGTTGTTTGACTTTTTTTTTTTCCTTCACGTACTACAATTCCAAGCTTTTCACTTGTTAAAGATCCTTTCTTAACCTTTTTTGTTTGGTTTTGGGGTTTTTTTAAGCGGTCAAACTAAGAAAAATGTCTGCATGTTTCTTGAATTCATACTTTCCGTTTCTCCTCCTTATGGTTTAACTGGTTAATCCCAAATTAATTCTTTGACTCTTGCGTAGCACTCCTACGGGCTCATGTTAAAATGTCTTGTGGACCTCTGTGCCTGCTCACTTGAAGCTGCAGGTATCTTTCTGAGCTTCTGTCTCAGTGACCTACATATTCCAGCAGCCACAATGTTTATAGAGGGAATGGTTCATCTTTAGTAAATACAAATTACATAATCCTCTTTAAAGGCATATATTTCCCTCTTGCTTGTCTTTGACCAAGTGCGATAGCCTAAGCTTTTTAAAAGCAATTTAACTCCCAGCTTTAATTGTACCTTTAAGGTCTCAGAGTAAAATTGAAAGATGCAGTTCAGTAATTCATCTAGGACTTGAAGTATTGACATGGCAGAGATGTGAGTGCTGACTAGCCAATTAACCTCTATTCACTGCAGCCAAATGAAAAACAAAACCTGCTTAGAGTAGGAGGTATTGTAAGTGGCTGAATTAGGAATATTTCAGAGCTGATAGCTCATTTTTTAGTATCATTATCATCATTGCAGAGCATCAGGGGAAAATGAACGCCCAATGTTTTTAATATTTAATGCTGTATTCACTTGCCAGATGGTATTTACAGAAATACCCAAAGTGTTTCTTTGGGCTGGCCCCTGGAGGTGAACACACAGTGGTCCTGGCCCTTGGCCTTGCCGTTCCGTGGGGTCAGGGGAAAAGCTTTAGAGACAGTCCTGTGCTGAGACCAAACTGTCCCAGGTGTGAGCGTGGGTCCAGAGAGCTGGGACCCAAACCCTGCACTTGTGTGGCCTTTCTGTTACGAGAGCCCTTGGAGACACTCAGAACTCAGCAGCTGCCAGGATGTTCTTCCAGGAAAGTGGAGACTTGTATGGAGAGACAGAGGGAGGGACTCAAGTAGTGGCCTGCCCCCCCCTTGTGCTCTGCAAAGCGCTCTTGGAGAGGATGGGCTGAGCTGACCTTGCTGCAGCTCTCTTAGGAGCCAAGTGAAATACTTCAGGAAACACGGACACCTTTGAGAATGCCAAATCCCCCAGCTGGCTACATGCTCCTCTTCCTCGAGGTCGCAGTTGCCAAAGTTGACATAAGGACACGCATTTCTGATGTGAGCACCGTAAATTAGCTTTTACCCAGCACTCTGACTGTGCTGTTGTACCCTGTCTCTTTGCAATGAAATTACGCTCAGGGCTGATGCGTAACAGGTCTATTGGCTGGCACCTGCTCTTGTCTGAGGACATTAATGCTGGGCAGAGCAGCAAATTTCCAGTCAGAGGACAGGTCTCTGGATTTATGTTACGCATCCCCATTTTCCTGTATGCATCAGACTGCAGATCTGGTCTGAGCCTTGCAGGGCTCTGGAAAGTGAAGCAGAGAAGTGGCACGTAGCAGCTCACACTATGGGGAGGGGAAGCGAGCTGTTGCTTTTCTTAGTTTTTCCTGTTCAGTTATTGAGAGATCGGCATCATGGGTTGCCACGGCGGGGAAAGTCAGGGTGTCTACTGAAAATGGCATCATCACTGCAATTGTGTCAGGTCCAGAAAAAAACCTGCCTCTTTCAGCTTAAACTAGAGACTTTGAATCCCGGTCCCTGCTTGCAGGAGTAAATTGCTTTTGGAAAGTTGGTTTTAACATGAGTGTGACATTCTTCTATGGGCAATTTGTTTTCTGCTGACATGATCAGAAAGAAATCAGCATACCCAATTAAAAAAAAAAACCAAACCAAACAACCCTGATTTCTAAGATAGATCATATAACTTAATACCAGGGTGGGAGAAGAACTATATTTTCTACTGCCCAAGAATTCAAGAATTAATTTGGTTTGCTATGATCTCTTAAAACTGAGTTTAAACTATTTATGTACCAATATGCAGAATCTGTTTGCATGTGCTTAAATACTGAATGCTGCAAAGAGAATACCTGCTTTTTAGTTAAAGTGATTTCTAACACTGAAGCTTCACTAATGAAATATCCCTTTTGTTCATCTTTCCACGCTTCAATGCATGGTGTGCAGGGTCAGTTCTGTGCATGACACCCACTGCAAGCGTTGGTAGGTTTTTCTACACAAACTTCTCAACTTTTCCTAATCTGAAAGAGACAGCAAGTTAGTATGCATCAGTGAGAACCTGGGTGGCTGAGTGGTGTGACTGTCTATCCGCTGTCTTCTTTGAGGCTTAAATGGTTGTATCCCTTTTAATTTCTGTGCAGTGTGGTGTTTCGTGTGACTAATAAGAGAACCCAAGGTGATGTGTTCCCACCCCTATTTAGTTCTGCTGCAGAGACAAAAATGTGTCACTTAAATGTCTTTACAACCCATTTAAGTCATCCAACAAAAGGAAATAGCAATGGGAGCATCCTGTTGGTTTATTTTTTTGTATCAGGCATCAGGTGGATTAGAGTTTGGATTTTCAGTTGTCCTTCTGAGGACATTTTAGGAGACTGGTTTAATAAAGGTGCTAAGGAGGAACACATCTGGGGTTAGCCCCTCTGCCAGAGCAGGTGCTGCTTGTACAGTGAGAGGAGCGAGGCGTAGGCTGTGGACTGGCTGGAAGATTCATCTTTTTAGTGCAAAGTGTCAGCTGTGCAGGTACAAGGGACTGTAGGGAGGTGCCGCTGCTGGGGCACGTGGGATGCAGTGAGGCAGCAGGGCTGAGTACATGCTCATTGCTGCTGCAGGGATCCAGTATGTCCAGGCTCAGCATCTGGGTCTTACTGGGAACCTGTGCAGATCTTTGAGGGACTTTCCCCTCTGTCTACAGCTGCTGGGCACAGCAGGGTGGGTGAAAGCTGAGCTTTCATCCTCCAGCCAAGGTTATACAAGACTGCCAGCATCCAGGTGTGTGCCTGCTTCAGCCAGAGGGAGAGAGGTGGGAGCAGGAGCCCCAGGGAAGGTGCAAGGCCCTTTGGGGAGCAGGTCTGAAAGCTTTGGTGGGAATGGCTAAGCACTCTGCTTTCAAACCTTTCCATCCCTATAGTGCAGAGAGGACACACCGCTTGCATGACAGGGAGCTGAACCCTTCAAACACACCTCTGCCTGTAGGAAACCCCAACCCACATGCTCCCAACGTCCCGTGGCTGGAGTGTGCCCAGCCGCACGCACTCGTGCTCCCCGCTGGGGCTCGCCATATCTGCTGGGGTGGAGGGGAAGGCAAGTCTGCTTCTCCGCTGCATGTTTGCGGGGATGGCGGGGCCCTTTCCTGCAGGCTCCCCAGTCCCGCAAACCCCCCCTGGGTTTGGTGGATGCCCATGTGCGCCCCGGAGCATCCTCTCCAGGGCTGTGCTCTGTGGGACACACAGCTCAGGGAGGCTGCCAAGCTCCCTGCTGCCATGTTGTCCTCTTGGATGCTCTTTCTGCAAATTGTAGCTGTTCAGATGCATTCATATGTTTTTTCCTCTCGGCCCCCACCCCGCAAGAGGGGAGTTTTGCCAAATCCTGTAGAATTAAGGTGGAAAGGAAGCACGCTGAATATGTATGGAGAGAGCTCGGGCTGCCAGCTGCTCGTTTGCCATGTCTCCAGCTCTGTCCCTTGCCGAAACATCGTCCCCGCTAGAGGCAAGAAAACCCGGTGAAAGGGCTGCGGCAGCCGCTGCAAAGTGCATCATGTACCTCTGGTTGCTGGCGGGGACGGGGTGGGGAGGGAAGGGGACAAGCTTTCCCAGGCGGGCGGGAGGGTGCGCTTGCCAAAATGTCCCCACCCAAAGGAACGTGCACTGGCTGTGTCTAACTCCCCACGGGTGCAAGCTGACGTGGGCTTTTGCTAGCACACCCGCCCTCTCCCCCCTCTGGAAATTTGGCCCTCGGAGTCTAATACATCATTGTTCTGCTTATAAATGTACTAAGTGTTGAGAATGTTTTGGTTTTTTCCTTAATTATAATTGTAATTGGCTTTTCCCCTTCTCTCTTGTTTATTTTTTTTCCCAACGCTGTCTTGCTTTGCACTGTGATTGCATGCTGCGCCCCGATGTGTCCTTCATGACGATGTCACATGGCTTGTTGCTGTGATTCCTGCCACGCCCCCAAATCCCCCACATGTTGCCATGGTTACATTTAAAAAAAAAAAAAAAACCACCAAAAAACCAAAAAAAAATATATACGCTCCACCCTCCCGTATGTCGCTTCCATGGTTCCCTTCCGAAAGTGCCCATGATGCACGGTGCTACGCCCACCACTGTGTCTGCAGCAACAACTCCTGCCACCAGCGTCCCCTTCGCTGCAACAGCTACCGCCAATCAGGTTTGGCCCTTTCAATGGCTTTCTTTCACGTGTTCAGATCTCGAGGACCGGGCGAGGGCCAGATCCTGCGCGGGGCCGAGCACCTTTCCCGACCCGCTCGGCTCGGTGCAGGCTTGGGTGTGCAGAGGCAGCGTGTGCGTGCGTGTGCGTGCGTGCGTGTGTGTGTGTCTGGGGATTGGTGAGGGGGCACTGGCCGGGCCTGCCACGTGCGGGATGGGCGGCAAGCCTGGCCCGAGCGTAGGGATGGGCGATTGGCAGGGGTGCAGGCCCTTCTCCAAAAACAACACCCCCACTGGTCCTGAAAAAACGGGCTGTAAAGCTCACGTGCATACTGTTGTGCAAGACCTGCGGCACTTCTGCTTTCAGTCTCAAGCAGAAATACCACCTCGAGCATCCTTCCCCGTGGTATTTTGGCATGTCCTCTCCTGGCTGGAAAGTGGAAGTGAAAACACAGAGAGGCCTCCCCCCACTGCAAGATTGGACTCCTGCGCGGGGCCGAGCACCTTTCCCGACCCGCTCGGCTCGGTGCAGGCTTGGGTGTGCAGAGGCAGCGTGTGCGTGCGTGTGCGTGCGTGCGTGTGTGTGTGTCTGGGGATTGGTGAGGGGGCACTGGCCGGGCCTGCCACGTGCGGGATGGGCGGCAAGCCTGGCCAGAGCGTAGGGATGGGCGATTGGCAGGGGTGCAGGCACTTCTCCAAAAACAACACCCCCACTGGTCCTGAAAAAACGGGCTGTAAAGCTCACGTGCATACTGTTGTGCAAGACCTGCGGCACTTCTGCTTTCAGTCTCAAGCAGAAATACCACCTCGAGCATCCTTCCCCGTGGTATTTTGGCATGTCCTCTCCTGGCTGGAAAGTGGAAGTGAAAACACAGAGAGGCCTCCCCCCACTGCAAGATTGGACTCCAAAAACAACCAAAAAAACCCCAAACCAACCAAAACCCAAAAAATTGGGGGCGAGGCTATGAAGTCTGAAGGTTATTTACACCAGTAACGTCACCCATCCCTACAGAAATGACTCTGGATGTGCAGTATGTGCCATTGTAGCACTGCCATAAGTGTACAGGATTTCATGCATGTCTGCCAAGCCATAATTCTCCAAAACTTTCCTCTGAAGATACTGAGTTGTGATGGCTGCTTCCGCACCAGTCCTGAACTGTATATGCACAACCTGTCCTAGTGATGCTTCCTGATAATTTGGTGTGCCACAACTTTTCCCAATTAGACCCGAGACATTTCAAACACTCCCCCTCCTCACCCCCCCCAATACTAATTTTAGCATTTTTATTTGTCATGCTCTCAGGTTTAGAGCTATTGCAAAGAAAACGGGGTGTCGCTTTGTTCTGTAGGAGGCTGTTAGCCATGCTGAATGTCAGTAATATCTCAGGGGGCATCCTCTAGTCTTTTGCTAGTGCAAGGTCACGAGGTTTTCAGTAGAAGTTTTGCCTGCAGAAGTCCTAGGCAGTGTTTTACTGCTCGCAGTAGGGATTGCTAGTCTTTTGCCGTGCTTTGTTGTTATTTTCAGGTAGAGCAGGTCTTACTCATATTCATATTGGTCATGAGAAGAAAGCAGAAATTCCTGTGCAGCATTGCTCTGTGGCTGTATGAGTCCTGTTTCAGCCAGATAGTTTCAGGGCATTTCTGTCTTACTTGTAGTCTATGGAGTTAAAACCCCACTACAGTCACCACGTACTCCGTGAGGCATCAGTAGTGATGCAGCTACGTTGTACTTAATGTGTGGCAAAATAAAGACATCTTGGGAATGGATCCTGTTTTATAAGACACTGATGTACTTACTAACCTGATACTGAAGACAGAATGAGCAGCCTGATCTCAAGACAATGTTTTAATGTGTTGTGTTCTTTGTTTTCTCTGCTGTAGATATCCCAGTTATCAGTAGATGAACTGAGTAGCAGCATGTTTGTTTCACAGATGTAGAAGTTCCCAATAGAACAGTAAGTTCCTTTTCGGTATTTCTCTTTACGGTGGATTGCTTTGTACAAGGGCACTGCATCCCTCAAAAGGGCGGCTGGCTCGGGCAGAGGGGCTGAGCCTGCGGGACCCCAGTGGCTTCACGCTCTGCCAACTCAACAGAAATTCAGCAGCTGCAGCGCAGATACCAGCCCTATGGTTTACAACAAGCAATGTTTCCTTGTGTCTAAAATACCTGATTTACGGTGCTCACAGCCTCCCTTCTTGCACCCCCCTGAGTCGGACGGCTGTGTTTACAGGTTACTCTGGCTCTGCACAGCTCCCAGCTGCCTGCAGATGCCTCGGGGATTTGCACTATTGATGGCAAAGACTGCTCTGGTGATGAGTCAGCTGGAAAGGTGTAACTTCTCTTTTGCTGTTAGTGGCATATTTCCTTTCCTGGGGTAAGCAGGAAAGGAAAGGGCTTGGTCTGAGCAGAGATCTCCTGTTCAGCTGCAGTGGGGGCCTGGCTCATGGTGGGTTTCTTCAGAGGTCCTCATATGTGTTAAAGACCAGGATGAATGTCGCAAGCAACATGTCCTTCACCCTAACTGCAGATCGTGGGATTCCTTAGGTTGCTTGATTTCTCTGAGTCGGAATGATGGAGGAGTTTGTCCTTTTCTTTGACTTACAGAGTATTATTTTACATCCATAGCAGCAGTGTCATTTTTCCATGGCTTTTCTCTGTGAATGTTAGCTGATGTTCATGAGAGAGAATCCCTTGAGGGCTTCAGTTCATCACTGTATTTTTTCACCCCAAGAGAGTAAAGAGCAGTTCAGCCAATTCAACAAGAGGTCACCAGATTTTCCCAATGCAGGCCATTTAGTATACACATATATGCAACCCATTTCTTCCTTAGGTCATCTATTACAGGCAAGTACTTAAATGTCGGAAAATAATTTGGCAAGCGATTCTCTAGTGATATCTTTAGCAATTGACAGAAGTTTGTCATCTTGGTGGTGGCCCTTATGTCTGCTGATGTTAATAAAATACTGTTATGTATAAATGACGCGCTAACTGTGGCCATCGACCCCTGTTCATGTAGGGGTGAACATCAAGCTATCCCTGTTACTGAAAATGTTCTGCTTTACACAGTGTACTGCTCTCCCAAACAACAGACAGAAAGACAGACGTGACACCTGACATGTTAACCCATTTCCATAACACATGCAAAACAGCCTGTTCCACCCGATAAGGAGATCATTTGCATTGGAAGAGCCTCATTCTTGAACTGTTTGAGATTGTTTTCAGCATTTATTTCAGGAAACTTCTTTTTTCTGTATTCTTTTCACTGTTACATGTGTGTGTGCTTAAACTCACACTGTCAATAGTTAGGGATTTCAAACTAGGCGAGGAACTTCCAAGGCATATATTTCTTCAGTAAGTAGGGAGCACATCACAGTGTCGAACAAAGCATGGGCCATGCTGTTCAGGACCACAAAAAACCTTTACTTGAAAGAAATAGGCTCAACATATCAAATTAGATGGGATTTCTTGGGGATCAGGCTACTGGGTGTGGAGAGGGTCTGGGTCATCCAAGGAGCCTGTTGAGCAGTGTCAGCACGTGCGTGAGCCACCGCTCTGCCAGAAGCACTTGTCCTCCTAACACCTCGCAGCTGTGGGACATAAACCACCTTCCGAGGCTGGTAGAAAAGGGCCGTGTCCCCCCAGCATCCGCAGTGCTCACAGACCCGCCAGCGACCATTTTCATGCAGCAGCGTGCATGTTTTGATCCCATTCCTGGGTTACCCCCGTGTCCATGCATAAATTAAAGGCAAGCAAATCTCTTGAGGACACACCGTTTCATGCTACCACCCGAGCATGTGAAATTGTGCATGTGCTCAAGTGTTTTGCCAGACAGGATCTTGGTTGGCAGTCTGCAGTGCCGAGGGGCAATTCCCAGAGCTTCCCTGAGTTGGGAGCTGGGTAATTGAAACACTTGTTGCTCTGGCAGATGTTTTTCTTTTCCTCCATGGTTGATGAAGTCCTGGTAGCCAGGCTGGCTAGCTTAGCGCTGCAGGAGACATGCGTTGGGTCCTTCAGGGGAGGATTTTCATGAGTACGTCCCAAGAGAGGTGATTTGCTCCCAGAAGAGGGTCCCCTGAGCACAGCGTTTCTGTGTCTGTGTTTTGTCTCTGGGCCCAATTCACCTTTGGCTCATGGCTTCTTAGGATCAGATTTTGGTGTGACTATCAGTGGCTCTCTCCAAAGAAAACAGGAGCTAACAGGGGGCAGGGATTCCTTTAGCCCTCTCCTTAGTCACTCTCTACCTGCCTTCCTGTCCAAAAATAAGAGTATTATTCGCCCACCTCCCTCTTTCATTAATTGTCTTGTCAGTATGTGTGGAGCGCACTGGAAGTGGAAAGCCCTCGGTGCAGATTAAAGAGGATGCCAAGTGTGTTATTAGCAATTTCACCCTAAGTCAGAAAATTAAGGGAATAAAATGTTTTCTCGCTGCAACATACTAATGACAACCTCTTGGGCAACGCAGTGAAGGTGCAAATGTATCTTATTAGAATGACTTTTATTAAAATACAGTTGTATCTCTCTCTAACGTCTCACTCTTTCTATGTTGTTTTTTCTTTCCCCTGCAGCAGACCATGTTGAAATTCTGAACAGTAAAATTACGGAGCACCAGGACTTCTTGGTGGGAAGCTGCGCATGGCCTTTCTGTATATATCCCCTCTTCCCTCTATCGTTCTCTACCACCTCTACAGTAAGCCTGTTGCAGCCTACATGTTAACCAAAAACTGATCAATGGGAATGTCAAAAAAAAAAAAAAAAAAAAACACTATAAAAAAAATTAAACAACAGTTGCAGCCTACATGTTAACCAAAAACTGATCAATGGGAATGTAAAAAAAAAAAAAAAAAAAAGCACTATAGAAACAATTAACAAACA